ACTTGTACATGTCAAATTTGTAAATGTTTCATGGGCCCTTGAAAAGAATATTATTCTAATTTTTAATGTGAAATTTTATATGTAGCCAGCAGATCAAGACTGTAAATTATGTTAAAATTATTTATATTTTTGACGTTTGTGTGTTTGTTTTTGTCAGCTTGACATATAAAATAGGGAGAGAGACATGTTGAAATCTTCACTGTCATGGGGGATTTGTCTAATTCTCCTTGCTGTTATGTCATTTTCTTTTTAAATGCATTTTGAGGCTATTTTTAGTGAGTGCATATATGTTAAATTGTTATATCTTCCTGGTAAATTGAACTTATTATGTATGTAGTAATCCTCTCTATTCTTAATGCTGCTTTTTATCTTAGTCTGTTTTGTCTGATATTATGTAACCAAGGCACCTTTCATTTGATTAGTATTTGTGTAATATCTTTTTGCTTGAAACTTTTCCGTGTCCTTATGCTTTTTGGTGTATCTTAGAAAATCTTTTTTTTCAGTTGGTGAATTTAGTCTATTTAAATTTACCATCATGGCTATATTTAAACTTGTTTGCAACTTCTTCTCACTATCCTCTGTTACCATTTTTTTGTTTGGTTTGTTTTTTACTTTCTTGCCTTTTTTTAGGATTAAGTTTTGTATTTTTTTCTTTTTTAGTTTTGCTTTTCTCTTTATTTTTTATTTTTCTCCATTGGGTTGGAATTTATGCTCCTTATTACTATGATTTTATTGTTTACTTCTGAACTTTTATGCTTATTTAACTTTATAATGTCTTTTATGACTTAAATTGGGTGCCAGACTAGCAAAGCTATCATATAAGAATGAATAATATTCTCCAAAACAACTTTACAAATGGTAGGCTTTTAATAAATATTTGTTTGCTGATTGAAATTCTTCATATGTATATATCATTTTAATTTTCATTTGATCAAATTTGCAAAATAATAAAGTACAAATTATTTTCAATGACCTATATTTTTCGTGTTTCCTATGAAATATCTGCTAGGAAAGTTGTTTCAATATATTCATTTTAAGCTTATCCTGTTAACTGAGTTGGACATTACCTGATTGTAAATGTAGGTATATAGTATCTACTGTTATTTTTATTTTCTAATTTGAAATTTGTACACTTGAAGCTTTATCTCTTAGATAATTTTCCTACAGTGGGATAGTGGTAGGTACCCTAATCTTGGATCAGAACTGTATAATACAAATCACATAACTTGAGATCTAGATTGATTTTATTTATTTATTTAATTTTCCTCCAAATTTTAATATAGTGTAATATTGGTTTCAGGAATAGAATTCAGTGATCCATCACTTATTATAATACCCAGTGCTCATCGTAACAAGTACCCTCCTTAATGCCCACCACCCATTTAGCCCATCCATCTCCCCTCCAATCAACGCTGTTTGTTCTCTATCATTAAAAGTCTTTTATGGTTTGTTTTCCCCCCTCTCTCTCTCTTTCCCCTTCCCATATGTTCATCTGTTTTGTTTCTTAAATTCCACATGAGTGAAATCATATGGTTTTTGTCTTTCTCTGACTGACTTATTTCACTTAGTACAATACACTCTAGCTCCATCCACGTCATTGCAAATGGCAATATTTCATTCTTTTTGATGGCTGAGTAGTAGAGATCTAGATTTTAAAATTAGAATGGTTAAGCCAAACAAACATTAAGCAGTAAATTAGACTATATTCTACAGCTAACTTTTAAACGAAATGAACATTTTTTACCTGGTACTGTCCTCACTAGTTCTTAATTATTATCACCTCTTTAAGAATTCAACTTTAATTTTGTCCACACATCATGTTTTAAAGCTTTGAGCTTCTATCTAAATTCTTAATTTGTCATATAATTTCTTTTCCCATTTATAGCTCCTGAGACCTTTGGTTTGTCAGCAAGGTCATTTCTGTTTCCTCTACTACCTGATGCTCTGCTTTCTTAACAACAGAGTTCTTTTCTTTGTTGGTTTTTTGCTAATCACATATTTGTATCTGATTCGGAATGTCTTCTCTTCTACTTTAGAAAAAAGAGAGATCCAACTATTTTTTTTTTGAGAGCATTTAAATTCTTAATCCTTCTCATTATCACCTCAGAATCAGAAAGAGAAAATCAGAGTAAACTAAACATGTCACCTTTTGCACTATTTAATTTAAAAATTTATGTGTAGACCCATATTTTGGATATACAAAGCATAGGATAAAGTTTTTAAAACATTTTTAAATAAACCTGCATAACTTACAGTATACCATTTTATGAGAAAGAAAATACCTTTTTATTATAAAAGTAGGAGTACAAAATTGTTAAATAATTGTTTAAAAAAGTGTTACTGATGATTGGTGTCTGGTTTTCTAGATCCTTTCTATGCATATATAGAATTTTTCCCCTAAGAATTATTTTTAACCTATGTTGCATATTAGGCAGTATAATGCCAACATTTTTCACATAGTTGATTATGGATCCTCCTTATCTTTTTTATTTATTTTTTAAAGATTTTATTTTTAAGTAATCTCTATATCCAAAGTGGGACTCGAACTCACAATTCTGAGATTAAGAGTCTCATGCCCCACTGACTGAGCCAGCCAGGTACCCCTTTCTTATCTTTTTTATTGGTGGTATAAATATTCCAATATATAGATGTAACATAATTTATTTAATTAATCCATCCTTTCCATGTGAACATTTAGATTATTTCCAGTCTTTCTGAAAGTAGACAACAGAAGTTTCACTACAGTGAGAATTTATATTATACAAATATATGTATAATCTAAATATAAATAATATAAAATATGTAATATTTGTATATTTGTTTAAGTTTTGTGTAGCATACATTTTCTAAAAGTAAAATTGCTGCATCAAAGCAAATACATTTTTTTCCTTTAAGATTTTTTTTATTTTGGGGGTACCTGGGTGTTTCAGTCAGTTAAGTGTCTGACTCTTGGTTTTGGCCCAGGCCATGATCTCTGGGTCATGGGAATGAGCCCCATGTTGGGCTCCATGCTCAGCACAGAGTCTGCTTGAGATTCTCTCCCTCTCCCTCTGCCCCTCCTCCCCCTTCTGTCTCCCTTCTCTCACTCTCTCTCCCTTTCCTTTTCTCCCTCTCTCCCAAATAAATAAAATCTTTAAAAAAAAAAAAATTTTTTTTTTTTTTTTTTTTTTTTACGTAATCTCTACACCCAATGTGGGGCTTGAACTCACAACCCCCAAGATCAAGAGTCACATATTCTACCAACTGAGCCAGCCAGGTGCCCCAGCGTATACTTATTTTAAATTTTAATAGATATTATTTAATTTCTAGTGAACTGGAACTCAATATATTGCTGGTAGAAATGTAAATTGGTGTAACCACTTTGCAAAATTGTTTGAAAGTATCTATTAAAGCTGACCATATGCACATGCTGTGGTCCAGCTGTTTTCCTCCTAGGTATATACCTAGCAGAAACATGGACATATGTTTGCCAAGGACATGGACAGATGTTGATAGTAGCAGTAACTCAGTAATCAAAAACTGAACAACCCAATGTCCACCGACAGTCGAATGGATACATAAATTATAACGTATTTATACAAAGTAGTATTCTGCAGCAAAGGGGATGAATTAACTACAGCTAAATAAAACAACATGGATGAATCTTACAAAATGATGTTGAGCTAAAGAAGTTACAAAATAGCATATCCTCTGTTTCCATTTAATTAGTGTTCACAAACTTGGAAAAGTAGTCATACTGTTAGAAGTCAGAATAATGGTTTTCTTTAAGGGGAGAACAATGATGGGAATGAAGCACTAGGAGAATTCTGGGAATTTTGGTTATGCTTCGTTTCTCAGGACTGGTGCTGGTTCGTGGGCTTGTTTGGTTTGTGAAAATTCACTGTGCTACACACTTGTGATATTATGCCTTCCCGTGTATGTATTCTGCTTCAATGGAAAGTTTCCAGTAAAGGAGTTCACTTCGTTTTTTACATAGAGAACCACTTTCAAACTCCTACCAGTAGTGTCTGTTTTTCCTATACTCTTGCCACTCTGATAGACATTAAAATCTTTTTAATCTGGTAGACATATAAAGAGGTCAATTTGTTGTTTTATTTTTATCTTATTATTAGTGAGGCTCAGCATCCTTTTGTACATTTGCTGACCATTTCTTCTACAGTTTCCCTACTCTTGTCCTTTGCCTATTTTTCTGTTACACTGTTTGTTTTTCTTACTGATTTGTAGACTTTTTTGGTCTATTATATGTCAAAATATAATGTTTTAAATAATAAATTCAAACTAACAAACTTATTAAGTATATCATGTGTTAGGAAAAGTTTCTTCTAATAATTAAATCCGTCTTTAAAAGGACCCATTATTCTTCAGTCTCCAGCTCTGTAACCAACTCCGTTCTTAGGAGAGTAAAATCAGCCTCGTTAGCTCCAAATCGATACTCATACATGGAGTCCATGTAGAATCTATTTGAAAGTCCCTGTTTTATTGTACATATATTAATATCCTCTTTTTCTTGACTAGTCTGTTCTTTGCTGGGAACATCTTTACAAAATCTCAAAACAAGTTTACCCACTGCTATTACATGTTACCCTTAATTTCTTTTGGTTTCTCTTTATGCCTTTACATTTCCTCATATGGAGAAGAGAAATGATATTGAATAGGATTTGTTTTGTTTGTAGTAAATTGCATATTAATTTTGCCTATCTTTTTTTTATTTATTAAATAGCCCTTTAAAAACCAGTGTGCCGCATGCTATTTCCTTTACTTTCTCAACCAGTTCCAAATTTCTAAGTGATCTCTTCACTAAAATATTTTGTTTTAGTAACTCAACTAGTCTGATGTAGTCTCACTGTTGTGTCTGCCTTTTTATGCTTTGGTTGGGGATGCCTTATTTAAAATACTGCCTAGACTTTACTATATTTTAATGTTCCTCATTTTGATCCTGTAGTGACCTGTGAATGTTTTAAATTTATTTTTGTTTTTTTCTTTTAATATGTAATTCATAGACGCTCTGCTGTTGCCCGCATTCAGGAGTTCTTCAGGCGGAGGAAAGAAAGGAAAGAAATGGAAGAATTGGATACTTTGAACATTAGAAGGCCACTAGTAAAGATGGTTTATAAGGGCCATCGCAACTCCAGGACAATGGTACCAAATGCTCATGGCACTCTTTGGAGAAATTGCAGATTCATAATACGAATTTTTTCATAATGATGATCTTCGTATATTGCCACTGCGATTCCAGTAATAGCATTATTGTACCTTAACAGTTACACCTCTTTACCCAAACATGGTTCTTTTAGTCCTAGAATATATTGCCAAGGACCATTATTGTTTACAATAAAATTCTGCCCTACTAAGGAAATGTTGTAGAAGTTTAAAATTTTTAGCTGGTACAAGTAACAATTACCTCCTTTTGTTCTCTCACACTTGCTGTCTACCTGTCTGGTATATATTTTTTTAGCTTATTTTAGCACCCTTGGTTGATTTGAAGAGAAAGATTTAGGTATATGAAATCCAGGCTCATTGTAAAATGTAGTCCGGTTACCTTATAACAACTCTTCTTAAGAGTCAAGATTTGTTTTAGTCACTTTGTCTCTCTAGACTTTACTGTCCTCCTCTATGAAATAAGAATAGACCAGATGATCTCTAAGATCTTTTCAAGTTTTACAGTCCACAAGTCTTATACACCCAGTGTGATACTAATTATTTATTAAGAGGATCCTGCAAGATGATTAGCATTTTAGAACTGTTAACTCTGAACCACTCATATTTAGAAAGTGTTGTTTTCATATATTCATTGAGTCATCCAAAAGTATCTACAGAGTCAGTTTTAATCTGCTTTCTTCAGAGATAAGGGGAAAAGTTACTTTGGGGGGGCCCTCGCTGGCTCAGTTGATAGAGCATGTGACTCTTGATGTAGGGGTCCTGAGTTCAAGCACACGTTGGACATAGAGCCTACTTTAAAAAAAAAGTTACTTTGAGGCAGGGAACTACTTAGCTCTCTCTGTAGACATCATTGGTGGTAATAATTTAATCATTCTAAACAGAATGCTCACTATTAATAGAAGTAATCAGTGTACATGTCTTGTATTTTGCTGGTTAAAATTTTGGATGAAAATTTTAGGGGTAGGAATGAAAGAAGAAAAGAAGTAACAGTAACGCTAAGTAACAATAAAACTGTCTACCCCCTTTGGTTTGGCAAAAATAGCAAAGTAGCAACTGCCGATGAAATGATTGAAAAACAGGGCACCTGGGGTGGCTCAGTTGGTTAAGCGACTGCCTTCGGCTCAGGTCATGATCCTGGAGTCCCGGGATCGAGTCCCACATTGGGCTCCTTGCTCAGCAGGGAGTCTGCTTCTCCCGCTGACCCTCTTCCCTCTCGTGCTCTCTCTCATTCTCTCTCTCTCTCTCAAATAAATAAAATCTTAAAAAAAAAGAAATGATTGAAAAACATCCCAAACTACAAAGATTTTGGATGGCTCATTCATATGCATCCATTGAAAAATGTCATCCTAACCATTCCAGTATATCCTGTTGTCTCATTGCTTCATTAAATATGTTTATATCCTTCCTTCTCAATTGTGAGAGAATAGCTAATAAAAAGATTGGTACTTTTTGTTCTTTTGGCATAAAGCAAAATACAAAAGGGAACCATTCATTTTTTTCTATGATTTGTTTTTATTATCTTATAAAGCCAAAGTAGAACCATTTTTGGAAAGTTCAACAACATATAGACATAGAAGTTTCCATTATACTTTCCAAAACCCAGAAATCCCATTCATTCCTTTAGCAGTTACTAATTCAGCACCTACTGTTGCCAAGTACTGCTTAAGGCCGTGAAAATATAGCATTGAACAGAGCAAAATATCTATTTTCATGGGGAACTTTTCATTATTTACTGTTGTATCATGCTTGCTGATAAATCTCCATCATTTTAAAATAATAGAAGACAAAGACTTTTTTATTATTTTCTAAGCCAATTAATATTTCCAATTGCAGAATAGAATAAATCTTGGTTTTAATATTTGATTTGAATTTTCTTATAATTTTTTTTAAACCCTTAGATAAAAGAAGCCAATTTCTGGGGTGCTAATTTTGTAATGAGTGGTTCCGACTGTGGCCATATCTTCATCTGGGATCGTCATACTGCTGAGCATTTAATGCTTCTGGAAGCTGATAATCATGTGGTAAACTGCCTGCAGCCACATCCGTTTGACCCAAGTAAGATGGCCTTTTATAGAAAGCAGTATGTCAGCTCCAGTTTTGTTCTAGTTGTTAATATAAGAATAATGCAAATTATCCTAGAAGGCAGCCACGAGAGCCTGTTATGACTCTCATTGGGTTTAAAACAAAAAAGACTTATAACCTCCTTTTGGCAGAAAGTATGGGGAAATAGATTAGAGTTTATTCTCTAATATTTCTTCTGAGTTTTACCAGTTGCAAGAAATTTGGTTACACTTTGCTCTACTTATCCAAACTCAACCTCCAAGCCTTGTTAGTTTTCACATGTCCAAGTTAATTTACCAGAACAAAGGAGTCTGGCTTGTTCTTGCCTTCCATTTGACATTGCCCATGTTTATCCTAAAAGGCAGTGGATAAGAAAGAAATTTGAGTGATTGCAAGTTGGTCTTAAAATTATGTTCTAGGGTAACTTTTAGGACATCTTCTAAGTAATATTCTCAGTCAACAATTAAATGTATCAGTACAATTTCCAGGCCAGCTCAGTTTTGCTATACATATACGTGTGTGTTTGTGTGAGTGTGTGTACATACATACATGCATAATGTATAACATATGTATGCATGTCTTAATGGCATATTTTTATCCTTTATATTAATATGCAATATTTTATTTCTAGTTCTAGCCTCATCTGGCATAGATTATGACATAAAGATCTGGTCACCACTAGAAGAGTCAAGGATTTTTAACCGAAAACTTGCTGATGAAGTAAGATTTTTATTTATACGTATTATAAATAATGTATGTCACTTTGTTCCTGAAATGCTTTCTTAAGAAGACTCAAAGCAGCTCATTATTAATTGGTAACATAAACAAGTTTATTCAGTTAAGGAGGTCAAATTTTAAGAAAAAGAAAAATTAAGATAACATGCCTGTATAATACTAGAGAGATAAAAATCAAAATATTATTTTGCTAATTATAGTATCGATTATTGGTAATACCAGGTTATTATAGTTTGAGAAAAATAGATTGACTATTTTTGTGCTTACTACAATGAAGAATCATTTAAAAAAACCTTCTGTCCTTTTAAGAAAATGAGTTTTACTATGGCTGGCCTCCATAATTGCAGCCAGATAAGTAAGCAGAACAAATGATTGGAGAATCTTTTCCTTTATTGTCATATTTTCAGATTTCTTCAGCTCCTTGTTAAACCAACAGTTTTCAAACTGGGCTTTGTGAAGCTCTCGGTTTTTAGTGGAATTGGGAGAGGGGAAGGTGGCTGATACAAAAGCTGAATTCTGGGCTTTTCCTCCCCAGCATTAGGCAGGGTTTTTATTGGCAGGTTTTCATATGAGATTTCTTATGAAAATAAGGGTTCATGGCATTAGTCAGCTGCTAACAGTTGAGCTTCTATGAGTAGGTGAGTGCAGCTCAAGTTGATGCTGTGCCCTCTTTAAAACATAAAAGAAGGGTCCATTGCTAAAAAATGTTATTAGTAAGTTAGAAAACCAGTACTCTAGACCAGGGTTGACAGTTCACAGCACAATTCCCACATCCGCTTTCTAACGGACATTTATAAACTTGGCATATGTCAGACACCGTGCTGAATTTTAAAAAACAAACCTTCCCTCAGAACTTACAGACTGACGGGAAAGACAGACACTGAATAGTCAGCTAGAACATAGAGAGGCATGCACAGTGTTCTGGAAGCCCTTACAAAGGAGCAGTTTTGCTTGTAAATGGGGTAGATGGATGGGGTAGTCTTCACAGAGGAAGTACGAATTGGACTGAGTTCATCAGGCAGACAGGGGGCTAAGGAGCCCTGGAAATGAAGAATTGGCAATTTCCAGGGTGTCCTAAGGTAAGTGAACCATTGGTGAGTGGATAAGAAAGCAGCTCCTTGGGGCAAGATTGGAAAGGGCTGAAAATGTGTTGTATGAAATCCCTGGGGAGCCATTGACCACATTAGCACCTTTGTCTTCCTCTCATCCTTTCCTCCCTTTCTTCCTTTTTTCCTTTGCCATGAACTTTGCCATTTGCCCTTAGCCTGTGATTACACACTAGATCCCTAGGTGTTTATGGATATTCATTTAGTGCTGTCTTGGTACATAAGACACATGTCATTGGTAACTCTTATCCAAAAGTTTATCTTTCAAGATTACTTTTGCCTCAGTCAAGGTGACATTTTCTCGAGGGATCTGAGTGACCCTGGGGAAATCATTTAACACTGCTCTGTCACTACATGTATCAGCTCTGCCATAGGGGAAGGGAATGAGCAGACACAGGTAGACCGCTCTGGGAAACGAATCACAAGTGAAAAGTAAATTGAATTCTTGAAGGTTTTAAGTGGCCTCAAAGTATGGCCTTTGTCTTTCTGCCAGTTGAAAGAGTAGTGTTCTGTGATGTCACTCCCTCAGTGGCAAGTTAAAATAATTACCTGGCACTGAGTAGCCTTACGGTGGAAATATACACAGTGTATGTATAAAGAATGAAGTAATTCCTCCTCAGACCTGCTAAGTTTTTACTGTTCTCCTAATCTTCAAGGAAAAAGTACAGTTACATCATGGTTCTTGACGTGGTTGTTTCACTTGCCCCACAGGTTATAACTCGAAACGAACTCATGCTGGAAGAGACCAGAAACACCATCACAGTGCCAGCCTCTTTCATGTTGAGGATGTTGGCTTCACTGAACCATATCCGAGCTGGTAAGAACTGTCAAGTGTATTATTAACACCATTATTACATCATGTTATTTCAGGTCTGCTTTAAAGTGATTTGTACAATTTCTTTTAACCATAAAATGAAGACAACGTAACTTCTGAGCTAGGAGTTCTGTGAACTCTTGATCTTAGTACAGTAACTTATTTCCTCATGAACCAAATGTATTGAAAAACGTCAGAATGAAAAGATAAAGCCACTTGAAAACTTTTATCAGCTGTGTTTCTCTTCTCAGAGTGGAGGATCATACCGTAATCCTTAAGATCTGTTAGAGTAAGTACCCTTTGGTGGTAGACGTGGTCAAAATTAACCCTAGCCCAGACAAAAATAAATGTAACGTGCTATTGCAAGGGTTGAAACACATAACCTCAGTAAGTTTTTTAAATATTTTTTTGTTTTGTTTTCACTGATACACTGTGAGGTTCGGTGCCAAAGAAACACAAAATGTAAATATTATAACTAATATTCAAGAAGGAAGTGAATAATCTGTTTGTAATAATAGAAAAGATCCAGTATCCATTATAAACAAAATACATTTATCAAACAAAAGAGTATTTGTTGTTCTTCACTGATTTCATAAATTTCTTCATATGTTGGATATTATCTATTATTTAATAATAACAACCACCACCATTTCTAGAGTACCTATAATGTATCAGGGACCATACCTGTCATTTCACAAATTTTTCCTAATTAGCTCCAAACCCTTACAACTTTGGTTATTGGTAATAACTTGCCCCAGGTCACACAACTGATAAATGATAAAGCCTGAATGTGAAACTGGCTTCCAAGCCCCTATTTCCCTTTGACCTTGGAAAGTTCACTTGCAGGAATACATTTAGATTGTGAATATGACATGCAGTCCGCTGGGTGATCTCAGCTCAAACTGCTTTTCAGGCTCATTCCCAGCATTCTCTCCTTCTCTGTCCACTCTGTCCACTCTGACCCTCTTTTGACTTGGGGGACACATCAAAGTCTTCTCTACCTCAGGATCTTTATCACCATGCTACCCCCTCCCATCCTCACTCTTTGTTAGGATACCTTCTACTTATCCTTCAGGTCTCTGTCGGCCGTGGATTAAATATCACTTCCTCAGAGAGAGGGAGGAATGGAGAGAAAGTGTACCAGGCAAAGTAAAGGGTAGGTAGCAATTTTCAAAGTCCTGGAGGGGAGAGTATGGACCACATCTAAAGAATTGAAAGAAGCCCATAGGAGGTGGGGAGAAAATATTCAAATTGTTAATATTAACTACTACCAGGAAAGAATGGAAATTTCAAATGGAATGTAAACAGAAAAGATTAGTAGTCCAACAAAATATTTTTGCAGTAGCTTTTGGGTTCCCGTATTATTAATCACTGTAACACTTTTGATCCATTTTCTTCAGTAACAGTGAGTAACCCTTAAAATTCATCCATTTAGATTTCAGATTTGAGGGGAGGCAGAATTTTCTAGAACAAGAAAAACATTTGCTGATTAGGATTCCTAAAACTCACTTGTTCTTGTAAAGAGTTTATCTGGCGAATGGCTCTTCCCGAGTTTTTCTACCGAAAACCATTCCTCTCTCATTTATGCCGCATCTGTTAGTTCATGGCCACTCCCCTCCTCCTTCGGTTTTAGCATTAGATAAGGTAAGTTTTATAGCATGAAGATGCCCTTTCTTCCAGTTCTTTTTGCCATCAACCAAAAAGACATAATTTCTAATTGGTTTAGTCAACTTAACTCACCCTCTTGCTTCTCTTATGTAAAAGGCTGGAGAGAAAATGTACCCGAGAGTTGCTTTTATCTTTAAGATATCCAGTTATTTGATGAGTCAGTTATCCACCGCTGTCCTCTCCTTCTCTCCTGGTCTCCAGTATTCCAAGTATGATCATGTATGCACTGTCGAGGAGAGTTAGTAATGGACTGTGATCCTGCAGGCGCAGGCTATCCACGGAATAGTCCAGCCCCTCCATTACTCCACAAGGCTCCCTGGGAAGTCCAGGGAATAGATTCAGGGCGGCGCCTTCCTGGTGGAGCTGTGATTTTTAATGAAGGCTGCACTACAGATCCCCTGTCGGGCTTTTTTCAGCTGCAAATACTTGGGTCCTACCCCCTGAAGATTTTCACTCATTTTATCTAAATAAGGCTTGAGCTTTTGCATTTTCCAAAAAGCAACCAAAGTCATTCTCATGAATACTTCACTAAAGACTATGATGTCTAAATGTGGTGTGTCTATCGATGGGATGGGGGCCCCCAAAGGTGGGACGAAGCAGATTGGGTGGAAGCCGGTGGCACGGGCAGTGAAAGGATCCACCTGAAGCAGAACAAAGGAGCTAGAAGTTTATCGAATCCACCGCCCAGGAGTGGCTCAGGACAGCAGGGGACAGGCTGTCTGCCACGAGGCTGAGGGTGGGGGCTGTTTCTAAAGGGGGAAGATGAAGGGGCATGGCTACATGTGGAGTTTTCCCTTTTTTTGCTAACTATGCCTGGTTGTAAGTAACCCATTGGTTAGTTAGGGCCTATGGCTTTTTCAAGGTGGGTCTTCTGATGTAGAAGCGACTCTTATTTTCAGTTTTTATTTAAAAGAAGAGTGTTTCTCAGACCTCCTCGGTCTGTAACTGCCAACCAGAGATTGGTGTCAGCATTGAGCTGCTTTGTAGTTCTCCTGCCTCAGAGGTGTAGCACTTCATGAACAAAAGATTGCATTTAACTTATTCTTAGAAACTGGGTTTCCATTCTGAGAGGGAGGACTGTGCAGCAGGTGGTTGAGATGGGTTTGAGAAAAGAACAATTATTCTGCCCTCTTCCTCATTCTGGAAGCCACTGTCCATTATTCACTGACCTGTATTAGACACTCTTGGCCGTCACTTGTCTCCTTATGGCTTGCTTTGGACTCTGCAGAATCCTTTTTTTTTTTTAAAGATTTTATTTATTTGACAGAGAGATAGAGAGGGAACACAAATAGGGGGAGTGGGAGAGGGAGAAGCAGGCTGCCGGCCGAGCAGGGAGCCCGATGCGAGGCTCGATCCCAGGACCCCTGAGACCATGACTTGAGCCGAAGGCAGATGCTTAATGACTGAGCCACCCAGGCGCCCCTGGACTCTGCAGAATCCTAATGTCTACCCTAAACTCCCTGATTGAAAGGCTGAGACAATTCTTGTTAACCCTGCATTTCCCCATCTTCATTCATAGTGTGACAAAAGGAATTTGGGTAAGAACCCTACACACTTTGAAAGAAATAGTCTGACCTCCTTCCTCATGCTTCCGACGTGACAGGAATAGGTTTGTTGAATTAGTCAGTCATATTAAGGATTCCCATTCATGGTAATCTACTTAAGCTGATAGCAGCTTCATGTTTTATTCTCTCATGAAAGTATATCACACAATAAAAAGTGTCATCTCTTTTATACTAACATTCGTTAGGTAGCCTTTTTATTGATCAGCGATTCTTCCACGGTGTTTAGACTCCTTAGTGATATATGAAGGTCTATCCAAATCTTGTTTTTGTTCACTTATTTTGCAAATGTGTATTGAACACTTATGTAATAATGATGATAGCTAAAATTTGTATAATTTAGGTTGTAAATCCATATACACATACATCATCTCATTAGTTTGGCTTTGAAATGGAGTCTCCGCACAGAGGGGCTTTAGTCCAATTCAGTTGGACAGTAAACATATAGTCTCTTCTGTCTACTGCTCTTGGTATTGTTGACTTAAGATCCAGTGAGAGAGTTTAAGCCTCTGTAGGTAATAAAATTTCATGATTCAGTCTTCTCGTAGTTGACAGTGGGGCTCAACCCTCCGCCCATGTTTAACCGTTGCCTGGGGCAAATGCTTCCGTGGCAGAACAGGCTCCATCCTCATGGTGCCAGTGCTTTTATACTGTTGCCTTCTCTCCATTACCCTAATGTGACGTATCTGATCTCAGTAAAACTTCTATTCATTTATTTCATAAACCGTCACTGAACATCCTGTACGAGGCTCTGAGGATATAAGATAAAAAGAAAAAACTCCTACCCTCGCAGGAGCTCAAAAAACCCTTGAGGTCTGGTCTGTAAGAAGACATGCAAACAAACGTCCCCGCAGTTAGGGTCTTCGTTGCACAACAGACACAGAGTGTAGAGTGTAGAGGAAGGAGTTCATCATTCTGCGGGCTGGATGTTTGAGAAAGTCGGGGAAACATTTCACAAAGGGGATAATAGTTGCACTGAGATGAGTAAGCAGAACCTTTATAGCTGGAAAACTGGGCAAGTGTCCCAAGCAGAGGAACAGCAAGGATAAATCGTGAAAGCTGGAGAGAGCATGCCGTGTTCACTCACCAGTTTATAATTATATTTTCACTTGACTGGTTAATCTAGATAAGCTCCTTGAGGGCAGAGACCACGTGTCTGTTTTGGCCACCGTTGTTTCCTTAGCACAATGCCTGGAACATAGCAGATAATTTAAAAATCTTTAAACACACAGATCCTTGAGGATGGTCCCCGGGTTCCCCCACAGCCTCCCCATAGTCTTTCTGGTGGCACGATACACCTCCTCAGGCTCCTGGACTCCAAGGAACACGGTTTGAAAACCACTCCAGTAGACCGTGATATATCAAGATCCCTAGGGTTTTTCTTTTTAGTTTTTATAGGTTTAGAATTACATGCATATTCAAAGTTATAGTGCTCTGTTTCCTTTACTCTTTTTTATTTGTTTTTAGTGGCAAAAACTTATCTACACACAAAAGTAAACTGATTTTTACATGATGATGTGTTGGGCTGTATACATTTTAATCAGTTTTAACTAAAAGGTATTGAAAGTTATTTCAATTATAATACTAAAAGAATTTCTTCTTGTGGGTCTCATACATGTTTTGCAGACCGGTTGGAGGGTGACAGATCAGAAGGCTCTGGTCAGGAGAATGAAAATGAGGATGAGGAATAACCATCTGTTATTGGCAAGCACTTAGATGTTCTGAAATTTGTAGAAGACATTTATTCTATTTTTTTCTTTACAGAGCTTTAGTGCAATTTTAAGGTTATGGTGTTTTGGAGTTTTCCCTTTTTTCGGGATAACCTAACATTGGTTTGGAATGATTGTGTGCATGAATTTGGAAGAGTGTGTAAAACAAAACTAGCAAAATGTTTAAAAAACTTTTTGCCATGTGTGAGGAGTGCTAGAAAATGCAAAGTGCAATATTTTCCCTAACCTTCAGGTATGAGAGCTTGGATCAATGTGGAAGAGTAATTTTCATTATAGTGAAAATGTTGGTTCAAATAAATTTCTACACTTGCCATTTGCATGTTTGTTGCTTTCTAATTAAAGAAGTTGGTGGTTTTAAGATATCCTGAATATGACTTTTTATTTCGCTTTACTACCTTCACCCACGTTTTCTGGTCTTCTCAGTAACATGACTCTTCTCTATTCTTTTCTAGACTTGATAACCTTTTCTGTTTCGGCTTCTGTGTGATAGAATCACATAGAGGAGCTTTTTTTCTTTTCTCCTTCCACAGCATGTTATCTTCACCTCCAGTCACTGTCTGTCACGATTAGCGGTACCTCTCTACCCAAGTACAGGGGTCCGGCTTCCAGCAGTGAGCACAGAGCATCGTGGCTAGCTCTCATAATGGAGCTCTGGAAGCTCTGGCTTCAGGTCTTCCCCTTTCTAACTTCTAGATTTCAACTGAAAGCTGTTGACCATCCAGTCTCAGGATTCTGGGTCTTCCTTTACTCTAGTGTCCGACTCCACCCAGGCCTGTAGCTTGGGTGTTCGGAGCTGAAATGCTCCTATAGACTTAACCCTGCCATCATCCTCCCTCCCCTCTCCCAAAGTGCCGTGCTGTTCTCCAGCTGGGCCGTGCAGGACTCACGGGGTTAAGGGGGCGGGGCAGGCAAAGCATCCCTGTGCTGTGTGGAGAGCCGGCACTGCCCCTTCCCACAGGCTGGCTGCAAGGCCAGGGACACCTGCTACTGAGAGAAGGCAGATTGGCTTTTTGATAGAGGACAAAGAACTCTTCCGTTGGCTCAGTAACTTCAGTTGGACTTCAGCATCTGGCTCTCACCCTAGACAGGGCACATATGTTTTCACATTAGGAAATGTGGTAAATGGTCAAAGGGAAAAGGAATTAGAGTTTTAGCCAAACAGGGCCACTGCATGACTTCTGGAAAGTACCAGGGTCTGTTTCTGGTTACCAATGAGTTATGGGATCTGCTTAAGCCATGTGACTTCTCTGGGCTTGTTTCCTCCTCTCTACAGTGCGGGTAATCCTATTTTTACCACCTGTGTCCTGGGGCTGTGTTAGGACCCCACGAAGCCACGGAGTTTGAAGGGCTTCACGGAACTGAAATGACCACTGGAAGTGCATAGGACATACGTCATTTCTTGCCCTGTAATAAAACAGTAACGGATATGCTGTAGGGAGGTGTTGGAAGCCGGGTGGGGCAGAGGCTACTGGAGGGCTCAGCAGGGTCAAGGAGTAGTAGCTCTTTGGCCGGAAGAGCACAGAAGAAAATCGAAATTGTACTGTCCGCTCTGGCACAGGATGTCAGTAGTAGGGGAGCCTGGGGGGCGGGCAGAGGGTATATGCGAACTCTCTGACCTTTCTGCTCAGTTTTGCTGGGAACCTTAAAACTTACTTTTTCTTTTTTTTTTTTTTTTTAATTTAATGGTATTTGTCAAAGGAATTAGGTCCCCTGCTGTTAATTTTGCAGAGCTGTGGGTACTGTGTGTTAAAAAGGAGCAGAGCAGGCCAGACAAGCAGTCAAGGAGGCAGCAAAGAGAAAACATTCTAGAGGCAGCGTTGACACTTCACAACTCTCTGTATGTTGGGGAGGTCCCAGCCAGTCACACAGCTGGACCCTGGGGCTCAGCTGCAGCTTGGACCCAGGATTATGATCTCAGTGGTGGCAGGTGAGGTGGTCAGGTAAAGGTGGTAGGTTTTGTGCCTGGAGGTTGCTGAGTTTCACTGGCAACCTGCCCCCCACCCTTTGCCTCTGGTTATGGGACAGACATCTAGAGAGTGGGTTGCTGTCATTAAGCCCCCTTTATTTATTTATTTTTTTAAGATTTTATTTTTTTGAGAGAGCATGAGCCAGGGGAGAAACAGCAGGCCCTACCCCCCCACCCCACCCCCATTTAAGCCTCCTTTAAAAACCTTGGGTTAGGAGGTGCCTGCCTGGCTCAGGCAGTAACTGCAGGTGACTCTTGATATTGGGGTTGTGAGTTTGAGCCCCATGTTGCATGTAGAGATTTCTTGAAAATCTTTAAAAATAGGGTGCTGGGTGGCTCAGTGGGTTAAGCGTCTGCCTTTGGCTCAGATCACAATCTCAGGGTCCTGGGATTGAGCCCCACGTCGGGCTCCCTGCTCAGTGGGGAGCCTGCTTCTCCCTCTCCCCCCTGCTCATGCTCTCTCTCTCACTCTCTCAAATAAGTAAGTAAAATCTTCAAAAAAAAATCTTAAAAACAAGAGTGTTTTGTATTTCTGGGTCATGCTAAGAAGTCATTTAATAATAGTCTCTGAATCTAATTGTCTTGGAGGAATTTATGAACAGCACATGGATGGATGTACCGAGGTGAGTGTGGTGTGGACATCGCCACCTCCCAATTCTACAGCCATCAGCTCCTTCCTACTCTGTCTCCTTCCCCTTGTAAGCCCACCGGAAGGGAGGCTGCACTTGAGGATGTGGCTGCACACAGTGGGTCAAGGGGGACACACTCAAAAAGTCAACAGTCCAAGTATAAATCCACAATTTCCACAGCTATACATGTACCAAAACAGATATTTAATCAGGTAGGCAAAACTATTCTAAATATACTTTTACTCACTTATAAATATTATGATTTATAATAATCCTAAGCGTTTTTATCTTTAAAAAAATCATCCAAAAACTTCAAGTGAAATATATTTCAGGATTAGCTTGCTTTTGTTTTGCTTTGAAGGTTTTTAACAACTTCTGCATCCAGGGGTCCATTATCAGAACACAGCCCAGAACTCCTGTCTCTTAGTGTATCCTCACCAGAGTGACAGACCTGCTTCCCACCAAACAGGCTCGCTCCGCAGCACTCGGGGTGGCCATGCCTGCCCAGGCCCGTGATGCCCTTGGGGCTGTCTTTTCATCCGGGAGGGGCTCACTTACCTGTGACTTGGGATATTTCAAACTGGTGGTGTGACAAGGAAAACCAGAAATGGCTTCTAATTCTTAAGCGATTAATACTATTCAGGAAAATTCTGAGGGAAATGAGCACAGCTTTGTGTATTATGTTCTCCTAAAAATAACATTGAGCAAAATTGTGCTGTTGGTAATCTTATGCAGATTTGAGTTTGTGCTTTGAAATCTTCCAAATAAATCCAATCACTTTCCTTGGGTTGCCGCTTTTTTTTTAGGTCTGGCAAGCTGATACTCCAGGCTCCCAACAGTTTCTACCCACCTGCTGAGCCCAGCTAGCCTGTTCTAATAATGAGGACTTCTAAGTATCCCTTCTCTTCCTCCCTTTCTCCTCCTCCTCTGCAGAGTTGCAAGTTGGCGCCTTCTCAGTCACATGGCCAAGACCTGGCATTTGACCCAGACTCTGGCTTAATGCACTTTGGGAGGTCAGACAATCCCTAAGCTTCTCTCCCTGGATTCTGTGTATCCATGCTCCCCAACCCAGAAGGGTGGTCAGGCTCTGTCCCCTCCTATAGTCACATATGACAGCCATTTTCCTTTGCTTCAGAGTGAAAATTGTGACGTCCCTTCCATCTTCCATGGGACTCACCTGGGGTTCTGCATATACCGTGGGTAGCAGCGTGGACTCCCATCCTTGTATGGCCTCTTGCCACGGGGGCTTGGAGGATCAAAGGACTCTGTGAGCCCAAGACCCCTGGCCAAGCAGTCACTATCACTGGGGGACAGAGCTGTCCTGAGCACCCAGGTCCCGTCGCAGGGGCTGTAAAGGGAGGTCAAGGCTGAGCTCGTGCCCTGGTTTGGGACTCTCCAGCAGGCCCCCAGGGGCCCATGATCTTTGACTGCCATTAACAGAAAAAGCTCGTTGTTGCTCCTTCAGATCTACTTCACCCTTTCCTCCCCTTTCTCTTGCTTTCCCCTGCCTCGCCACATCCCCCTTCCCAGAAGACACATCAATTCCCATGTCAACAACCCTCAGCACCTTCTATCTCGGATAACAGTCATCCTCGCCAGAGTTTCACTTCCTGTCCTGGAGATGCCCCTAAAACCAGACTAACGCACCCACCTCCCGCGACCGGGCAGCCGCCGGGGGGAGCTCAGCTCCAGGTACCGCGCAGGACGCTGCAATCCGCAGGGTCACCTCGGAGGGGGCCCAGCTGAGGACGCGGCCACAGAGGACGTATCGATGAGACAACCGCGACGCGGCAAGACTGAGGAGCCCAAGGCTGCCCGGCTCGGAATTGGCAGCGCGGGATGGGGACCCAGAGCCTGCTGCGCCCCCCCTCACCCCCCGCTCGCCCTTTCGTAGCCACGTCACCCTCCCCGGTTCCGTGGACAGGAGGGCAGCCGGGGCTCCAGGCTGACCGCTCGACATGGGCAGACCCTGTGGTCCATCCAGAGACCGTCTCTAACGACAAGCATCTCAGGGGCCTCCTGTCCCGGATGGGAGAAGCGTGTTCGGTCGTCAAGTCGGAACACGTCCTAAGATCTCCGTATCAGCGCGTTTTCCGTCGCTCTCCGGTCCCACCGCGGACGGCCTCCCGGCTCGCTCGGCTCCGCGCAGCGCCGCACGGCGGCTCCCGAAACGGGGCTGGAGAACGCTGCGCCGCCGGGCCTCCCGCCCCAGCGCCCATCGGAGACGCTGCGCGCGGCGGCTCGCGCACGGAAGCGAGCTGCCGGCCGGGGCTCCGGGCTGCAGGGGGGCACCGGCTCCGCGGGGAGCGAACCGGCGTTCAGCGGTACCCTTCCCTCTTCGCGGCCGGACGCGGCCCGCGGCAGCACAGCCCCACTGCTGCCCCCTAGTGTCGGGGCCCTGAACGCCCCAGCGCCGCGTGCTCGGGAGCGTGCGCCCCCAAGGCCCCCAAGCCTGGCATCCGGGGCACAGCACAGGGACCCGGTCAAGTGGCAGCTTCAATGAGAGGGGCAGAGATGGGCAACAGCCCTCAACGTGGGCCTGTCAAAACTGGGACCCGCAGGACTCAGGTTCTTAAGCGACCGTATGGCCCAGTGTCCCCTAGGAAGGCCTCAGGCTGCCCAGGATAAAGCGGGCACGCCGGGTTTGGTGGGGGCAGTTGGGGTTTTGACCTTCTGTACGGAGGCAGGTGTCCTCAAAGAGACTCCGGGGAACTTGAGAAAGTGTGCGGATTTTCGCCTCTTCCTCTCCTCACCGCCTCCCTCCCGTGCTCCTCCTTTCTCACTTGCTCTTGCTCGCTCTAGCTCTAAGGCTGCATCAAGGCAGATTGGAATTCCTGAATAGGCAAACTGTGATTCCAGCTGCCCGAAATCCTCCGCGGCTTGGCTCAGACGGTCCCCTCCGTCCCTAAGTCCCCTACCTGGAAATACCTCCCTCCGCCGAAGAGTAAGAGGACCTGACTTGGCCATTTCTCGGCACCTCGCTCAGCCAGGCCGCTCCCTGCGTGAGAACGAGCGGAACGCTTTAAAGCTTCGGCCCCGCGCGCAGCCCTGGGCTTTGCTCGGAGCGCATGCGCCACGTCCGGCACTGTGCGCAGAAAATAGGGAAGGCGGGGACTCTGTGAAGCGTGCTAGTTCTAGACAGGCCCAGACGAAACCCTAGTGGATCCCAGCTGGTCTGGGATCGGCCAGGGGGGACTCGGGGTCTCAAGACTCTCTCCCTCCAGCCCGGCCTGTGCAGTCCTGGGGAAGCCCCCCCCCCCCCCCCCCCGTCTACCCCCGCTTGCGAGCCAATATGCTGCTCTCAAAAAGGCCTAAGGGGCAAGCCGCCCGGCTGTTGCAGCCTAGAGGCAAAGGCCATCCCCGGGCATCTTAGTCGGTCAGGATATGGTCCCTTTACCGGACAAGTGTAGGGAGAAATACACGCACAGCACATAAGATGCCCTCGGAGGGGCGCCTGCGTGGCCCAGTCGGTTAAGAGTCTGCCTTCTGCTCAGGTCATGATCGCGGGGCCCTGCTCAGCGGGGAGCCTGCTTCTCCCTCTGCCCCTCCCCCTTCTCACGCTCCCTTTCCCTCTTTCTTAAATAAGATCTTTAAAAACAAAAAAAAATGCCCTCACGTTTAGGAATGCCCCCCGGGAGCGGGAGCAGGGCCCACGGGTGCAGCTGCCCTCCGCTCCTCCGGAAAAGCCACCCCACCCCCACCCTCCAAACCTAGACCGCGCGGGGCGCCCAGCCGACTGCGAGCACTGCTGATGGGCGCGGGCGCCGCGAAGGCAGCAAGCCCCACGCCGCGGGAAAGGGCCTCCCGCCAGGCGGCAAAAAGACAACGTGTCACCAGGAGCTAGCGAGGCCCCGAAGACCCCACAAAGCTATGCCCGCATTGGCCCGAGGGTTCCCCCCACCCCAAACCTACGGATGCCGAGGACATCAAAGACCACAGCGGGACATTATCTTCCCACCCCCTTATCCCACTTTGCGGATGGCTCGAGAGGTGACACGAAGTCCCAAAGGGTCCAAGAGGAGGAGCTGCGCCAAGAGCGTCGGCGGAGCGCCTTTCTCCGCCATCCTGTGGCACGCTGCCCGGGGCCTGCAAGCCCGCTGCTCTGGTCGGGGGACACCTCGAGCAACCCAGCGTGAGGCCTCCCAGCGCGAAGGAGATGCCCTCCCAGGAGAACAGCAGCTCCGTTTCCCCGCCCTGCTGGGGCCCCGCTCCCGCTTGGGAAGATAGGGGGCGGGGGCCCTAACCAAATGCATTTTTTGTAGTTCTCGAAATGAAACATCTGGCACCTGCTCCTTCCTCGTGTCTTGTATAGTGGTTGCTCCCTTCTTTTGAAATACCAAAGCGTCAGTCAACAGGGAGGTGGGCAGGGCGGCCCCATCCCCAGCGACAGCAGCCCCGGGGCCCGGTCGCCCGAGCACCAGCAGGTCGCCCCCACTGACTGCAAGGTCCCCACCAGGATGGAGGCGTGGAAGCCCCTGCGAAAGGCTCTGCTCCCGGCTTCTCCTCCGGGAAGCATTCAGTGTGGCCGCACCAACCACGGGGACGCGCAGGGGAAGGTCCTGCTCTGGCAAGAAGTGTCGTCCTCCCAGGAGCACTGCAAAGGGCTTACCTCCCGAGATCTCTGGGACAGTGCCCGGCTGCCCCTGGACGTCCTGGAGAAGAGGAAGTAACCCACGCTGCCGTTTCCTTCCAAGCCACGGTCCCTAGCCCCCCTTCCATGCCCCCCCCTCCCAAAAAGTCATGGCCACACCTCCATCAGCGTGCCCTGGAGCCTCAGACATCTCTGGTCCCATCGCCAGGGCCCACCCGGAGCCGGTGGGTGCTCTCACAAGACCCCGTGGTCAGCGTTTTTCCAAGTGGTTGCACCCCAGATGTCCCTCCCCGGGGCGCCCCTCTGCGGGCCAGTCCACCCTGAGGCCCTCATCGCGGTTCTGCAGCTAAAATGTCCCCTTCCTCGATGCTCTGCAGCTGCAGCCTCTGACTCGCAAGAGTCCTGCTGCCTCGGCGGCCCCCGAAGCCAGCCCCTGGGACCGTCCGTGCTGCGGCCAGGACCCCAGGCAACGCCTCCTCCCCAAACAGCTTGATCTTGGCTTCGGCCTCTATGACTTTGGCCAAGCTGGCCGCGTAACTGTCCAAGGACTCATGCACTTCAGCTTTCACGTGAAGAACAGGGTTCCTGGCGGCATCTGAGGGGGAAGCAGAAAGGTAGGCCGAGGTCTAGCAGCAGCAATGATGGGGAATGTGCCCGCGGATGCTTCACGGCCCAGGGAGGGGGCAGCGCAAACCAAGCGCGTGGGTTCTGTGGCCACGTTCCCTAGGCTCGAATCCCTGACGTCCCATGTCCTACCTGGGGAGGCGTGGAACTGACCTGCTTCCTCACCTACAGAGAGAACGTCACGGAGTAACCCAGGGTTACATAACTGTGATCATTAAGCAATTCTTTCTGAGACATCTAGGTCTGGCCCACAAGAGAGCCTTGATAAATACTTCCTAGTAACGATATTCAAAATTCCACACCTTTGAAAGAATTCTCTGGTACTTCAGCTCCCTAGAACCATATAATGCCTATGCCGCCTCTCTCCTGGGCACAAAGGCTCATGCCGGCCAGAACCTCAGGGTTGGAAATAACATCAAGGTCCCTGCACCCCACCCAGGATTAGGAGCCCTGACAACTCACACCAACAGAGACAGCGAATCTTCAACCTCACACCCAGTGCCTTATTATTACTGCCCTGGCTGCCCATCTTTCCCCTGCCATTTTGGGGGGGGGCAGTTCATCCCCTACCCCTCACATTTTCTGGAGAGGGGGCAACTTCCGCCCCATGTGATGAACACTCCCTGTCATCCATTTCAAGGAATCTGCAGCCAGCCTCGGGCGTTGCTTCACACACGTGATGAAGGAAGAGGGGAGGGACACGCGGCCTCCCCCGGGCCCTGTCCCCTGTGCTCCTCCCTGGCTGCAGACAGGCGGCCCTCACAACTGCCATCCCCACTAAGCAGGCCTGATGCGGCCAGACTGGCCTAGGTGGGCCGGGCAGATGGGGGAAGGAGCCACTCATTTTTTATTTCCAGGGGTAAAATATGATAAAGCCCATAAGGCTGCAGGCCAGACTCTGTCCTGGAGTCTACTCTGTCTGACCACTGTGACTGCCCCACAACTTGGCTGGGAGAAAACCCAGGATTCACTGCCAACCCAAGGTTCTGACAGGGCTCTCCCTTCCTGTCACGGTCAGCATCCCTGAGTCCCTGACACCATGTCCACACCCGTCATGCTGGTGACTGTCCTCATGTGCTGGGATTCGGAGCAGAGAGGACCTTCCTTCCATTGGCACTCTGCACAGTCCCCTGTCCCTCTTCTGATCAGCATGTCTGGATGGGAAACCAGACCCTAACACTTATCTCCCACCTGTCCTGATTCCAGCCCCAGCACCGAGTTGCCTCTGGAATGTAGGGTCTGGTTTCCCATCCAGAGGCGACACGGCGCTGGGGTTGGAATCAGGACAGGTGGGAGAAAAGCGTGGGCACCGCAGAAGAGCTCATTCTGCTCATAGAACTCTCGGGACCTCATCGACTCCGGGGCCAACAGATGGTCATGGTGGGATGGTCACGGCGGCAGCCTCTGCTGATCTAGGAACACTCGGGGGGCCACTGCTTCCATTTCCCACGTGAGGAAGCAGGGCTCAGAGTGGGCAAGTTCAGATCTCTGCCCATGCCTCACCCAGAAAGGAGAGAAACTACGGAGGGCTCAGACTTTACCCAACCCGGCAGCTTCCCAAGGAAGGAGATGGGAATCAGAGGGTGTGTGTGTGTGTGTGTGTGTGTGTGTGTGTGTGTGTGTGTGTGTGTGTGTGTGTGTGTGTGTGTGTCAGAGGGTGTGTGTGTGTGTGTGTGTGTGTGTCCGGCAGCTTCCCGAGGAAGGATGGGAATCAGAGGGTGTGTGTGTGTGTGTGTGTGTGTGTGTGTGTGTGTCTGGCAGCTTCCCGAGGAAGGAGATGGGAATCAGAGGGTGTGTGTGTGTGTGTGTGTGTGTGTGTCAGAGGGTGTGTGTGTGTGTGTGTGTGTGTGTGTGTGTCCCCACCTAGAATTCAAGGGTGTGTGTGTGTGTGTCTGTGTGTGTGTGTCTCCCCACCTAGAATTCCACAGCCCCTCCCTTCCCACCTTCCCAGTCCAGATGCCGCCCACTCCAGCAACGGGGGGCCTGAGGCCAAGTGTGATGGGGGGTGTTGGGAGCAAGCAGGGCGGGAGGCAAGGTGGGGAGGCCTGGATGCTGGGGATGAGAGCAGGGCTGAGCCAGGGAATTTGCCCAGGTCCGTGCCTGTCCCCCCAGGCTGTCCTGAAGGATCAGCACAGACCCACCTTTGATTTGTTCCACTTGATCCTCAAAGGTCACGGAGCTCCTTCTCTTGGGGGGGCAAGTACAGTGGGAGGGAGGGCTGTCATCAGACGTGTAGTCCTCGAGCAGCATCACGTCTGTTCCTAAAACCAAGGGTGGGTTGTGCACACAAAACTGGTGAAGCAAGGTCCTCCCTCTCCACCTCTCTCCACCCCCTGCACGCTCTCTCCCATGTGTTCAATCCCGCCAACAGGTGCAACTCCCTGCCTGCAGCATTTGTCCAAGAAACACTGGGGGCATCACCTCATTTCAGGGAGGCTGCAGCTGGAGCCCCGGGGCTGCTTCAGACACAGGAAACACAGCCGTGTTCCCCAGACAGCAGGTTATGTGCCACAACTATAGTGACTCAGGGCATTGAGCCAGGCCTGGGACGGAGGGGAGGGGGCGGCAGGGCCCTATGACAGGCTCTGCGTTCTGAGGATTCTTCTTACAGTCTGAATTTCCATCGTTAGAATATGTTGTGCTAAATAATTTAAAATTTGAAATATAGAGTCCTTTGGGGATCAAAAAAAAATTGAAAAATATACCCGCCAAAAAAGTGGGGAAACAAAGGCAGAGAGGCAGGGGGTCCTATTAGAGAGAGCTGGGCAGAGCAGGGGTGCGGGGCTCCAGGCTGAGATGGGACCCTGGCCCAACACCGGGGCGAATGTTGGGACCAGCCTTGTTCCATCCTGGTCTCCAGCTTGCAATCCTTCAAGGCCTTAGTGGTCTGGAAACGAGGAAGACGGGGCAGCCCCGGGCTCCTCCTGCTGTTTCAGGACCAGCTGCAAAGGCAACCCTGTCTCACACGAGGGACTCGGGGCGAGAGGGGCCGGCGTGACCAGCAGTTCAACCCACTGGCTGACAGGTGATAGAACATTCTCAGGGAACATTCTGCCTCCAGGGAAAACTGTCCACGACAGAAGGCCGGGTCTTGGTGTCAGCCCGCGGCCTACCCCAGAGTTCCACGACACCGGCTGAGGCTGGGAGAAAGGTCAGGGCAGAGATGAGTTTTCACAAGCTCCCGGCTGCAGAGATGGTGCGAAGCCCCCGCTGCCGTCAGCCCAGTTCGTGGGCACAGGCTCGCCCCGGGATGGAGAGCAGAGGTCCCTGCCCACCTGTCTCTCACCAGCGCAGCAAGCAGCGGCCGGAAGGAGGCGCTCCGGGCTACACAATCCCCTGGGGGGCAGCGCCAGGCGGGGGGGGGGGGGGGGGGGGAGGGGGGGGGGGGATGGGGAGCATCTGTGCTGCAGATGTGTTTCTTCAGGGAGTCCAAGTTTCTCAAGGGCAGGGCCCAGAGCTTGCCAGGATGGTGATGAGAGGGTGTGATCTCGGTGGGACTGCCCCTGATAGAGGGAGGACTCCCCCCAGTTCCCAAATGGGGATGCTCCCAGGCTTAGAAAGAGATTAAGCATCTTGCCCAGGAGAACACAGCTCGGAAAAGGCCCATCAGACAGAGAGCCGGTCGCAGCCACCGGTCTGACACCAGCAGCAACAACTCATGGTCACCAGCATGGCTACTGTTCTAAGGGTTTCACTTCACTGGGCTCTGACAACAGCCCTGTGTGGGGGAGAGTGGCACCCAAGTCCCTATGCTCTACAGGGAGAAACCAAGGCCCCGAAACGCTGGCAAGCTGAAGGCCGCGGCGAGAGGCCCATGTTCAGGGCGCGGCCCGCCCGCCAGCTGGTAGCCTGGCACGGGGCCACACGGCAGGTGGGACGCTTACCTGAGTCCTGGGAGCAGCTGAAGCCAGTGTCCCCCGTGCTGCTGCTGTTCCCCAGGGGCTGTCCGCCTGCCATGAGGGCCGTGAGGTGGGGGGACAGGCCCAGGTCTGAAAGGTAAAGTCGGCACCGTGAGCGCAGCCCAGGTCCCGCCCAGGTGGCCACGGACCCTCCTTTTTCGGTTGCCCCCACCGGCCTCACGGCCGCCTCCCGTCCTGTCTCTTGCATGCCGGGCTCTCAACCCACGGCAGGATCGGGAGTCCCCAGCTGCCCTTTCCCCTCTCTGCCTCTTGTTCCCATCCCGGTGCGGGCGGGGGGGGGGGGGGGTCCTGCCCTGTGATAGGATTCCCCCGGCCCCTGAAGACCAAACTCTCACACCACTACCACACGCCAGAAGGCAGGTGGCAGGGAAACATGGGGCCCATGGTCTTGGGAGATAACCCTCCAGTTAAACATGGGATGTGGGTGCACTGTGACCTCCTGAGATCCCACTTGAATACCGAGAAGGAATTTTCAAGAGGTGCAAACCACAAAGTGTGAGAGAATGCCTGCAAGCCAGAAGGTGAGGACAGGGGGCCTGACCCAGGGAGCGGAGGCCGGCGGCTGGGGAGGCCTGGGCGGAGGCCGGTTCTCACCCAGTGCCCCCCAGAGCTCAGGACCTGGAGGCCCAGGAGCCTCTGCAGCACGTGGGGCTGGACAGAAAGTCTCTGTAGGCAGTGGTGGGTCCGGTCCACCACTCTGCCCAGCCCAGGCTCAGGAGCTCGGGCCCCTTGTTGGCAGGAGGGGATAACCCCGGGCCAGCCTCAGAGACAGCCGCCATGGCTGAGGCAACACCAGCTAAACCATGGGCGCAGTGACAGGCCACAGAGTGAACAGCGGGACCCCCATCCCTCAGTTCCCACAACCTGGCCAGGAGAGTGAGAACCCTTTCCCGGGGCAGTAGAGCGGCCCAAGCGCCACAGTCAATGGGCCTCGTGTGCCCCCACGCAGGGCCTCTGCCCGCTCCCAGGGCCTCGCCACCAACATGGAGGAAGGCCAAGGTCACTGGACACTCAGGGAGAGGCATTAGCTTGAAAGAGATGGAAGGAATACAAAAGAAAGAAAGAAAAGAGAAAAAAATGGATCTCAGAGGAGACAATGGAGGAAGCTTAAGAATTAAAAAAAAAAAAAATTCTACTTGAGTCCCCTGAGAAAATTGAGAGAATAAGGACTCCATGAACAAAAGAGCCGGAGGCTCTGGAGACCACAGAGGTCACGGGAAGGAGCTCTTGGCAGTTAAAACTGCGGCACACGGAGTCAAACCCCCCTGGCCTAGGAGCAAGGCCCGCGCCTGGACTGAGTGAGCACCCACACTCCCCCGCGGTCCACCTACAGACCGGACAGGGCCCTAAGCCTTCTGAGGGTACGAGGTGATGGACAGCGTGCTTCCCTTCCTTCCCTGGAGCCCAGGAGGAGACGAGAAGGGCAGGCTTCTCTCTGAATCACCTGTCCGTGAGCTTGGGGTACCGCGCTTGTGCAGCGCGCGGGTGGAACGGACCGGGGCCAGAGAAGACCCCGCACGTGCTCGTCCCCATCCTGGGCCTTGGCCTCAGTCCGTGACCACGGCTCGGCAGGAAGCCCGGCCTGGGGAGGGGCCCGTGGGGGGCCAGGCGCTGCCGACCGGGATGGCCGAGGCCGCGGTGGGTTTGGGACACGTCTCTGAGGCTGCGGTGAGAGCCAGAACATGGCCTGGTCTCCAAGCAGCGGGACGAGTCATCTGAGCCAGACCTATGTGGCTGGGCTGGAAGGTCCGGAAATGGCCGCCCGGCGGCCCTGCCCCATCCTCTGTTTACCCGGCATTTACCACTCCACAGTGGGCGCAGTTACCCCGGGGTTTTTCACACGAAACAATAACACATCTACTGGGTTGGGCCCAATCCAAGCCCTGTTACAAAATTAAAAAAAAAAAAAA